TTCAATTTTCCCTTTCATAATAATTATTCTGCATACCGTACTTTCCATTATTATTCGTAAATATTCTCAATATCTAGTTTTTATGGTGCAGTTTTTGTACGTACTTTGTTGAATTTTCCTTAATAGAAATAAAGTTTATTTCACAATATCCTAATAAGGTTTTTCTATGAATTATCTATATCTACTACAGGTACAGGGTCGCATAGGAGCTATTTCCGCACTGATTTGAGGGCGAAATTTGATACTTGTCGGCCTGCAGGGCCACAAAATGCCACTTATTTGATGGCTGGTCGCACAAAAAATTACTATTTGAGCCCCGCAAAAAAGAATAGTCGCGTAACGTTTGGGTATGTTACAGGTAAATTCCTTACAAAAATTGGGCGTGGCTCCAAATATTTTTTTCGCCTGCGGCGCTTTTTTTTTCAGCATTTTTTGTTAGCACAGCCCCCCCCTTAACCAAAATCCTGGATACGCCAATGCTCTACTGGAATAATAAGAATCGCTGAAAATTCAGCTTTCTATCTATAATAAAAAAAAAGTTATGATTTTTCAGGGGTCAGTTTTCAAATATCCAAATCAAGGTACGTGCTTAGCTAATAAAAATCAGGAGAGGTGAAGATTTTTGATTATGATATGGATATGATTATGACAATTTGAAATCGTTTTCTAACGAAGGCGCAAAGTAATACTTTACCGCACGCTTGGTAAAGGCCAGTGGCGACGCCAGGGTTTTATGTTAGGGGGGGGCCAGACTGGGGCAGAAAAATTTAGGGGGGGACACTTGATTTTACTTTATTGCTTTGCTTTGGTACCCTGTTTTAATCAATTTAAATCAAAAACGCTATGCATGGTAATATTGAGGTAATAAAAAACAGAGAAGTAGGTATAGGTGATAAAGATCAACTTTAATAACCTCAATTATCTTAGGTATATTGAAACATACAAAAAAAAAAACAGCAAGACATATCCAAGTAAAAATAGTTATTTTCCTAACAAGTGCGCAAAGTGTTAATTTTCCGCAAGCAAACCCAGTTTGTATAGATGATATAGAAACAGAGGAAACATTTTTCATCATTTGTCAAAGTCGACAAGGTGCACTTATTGTTGCTTGATAATTAGTTTTACTTTTTTGCACTCAATGCGGATGAAGACCTTATGCGCACAGAGTGCGAAAAAGTGTAACTTTAAGCACGGAAATGCGTGCGGAAAACGGAAAACTACTACTTACCGGAACCTAAAACCTGAAGCAGTAAAATTCTTCGGTTATTATGATTTTTAGCAAAAGTATCAACAATATTATCGAGATTCATATTATATACAGTGTGTCCCACTTTTCATGAATAAACCCTGATATCTCAGTTAGTAATGATGCGATTTTATTCAAATTTTGGTGCAGAGCTGGGCAAAGCCCTCAGTAAAAGGGCTTGAAGCACTAAGCCCTAAGTGCTTCAATTTCAAGCACAAATTCCTTTTTATTTTCAAAAGTGCTTCACAAGCACAAAGCCCTCAAAGTGCTTTGGGCTTGACAAGCACAAAGCCCTCAAAGTGATTTGAAAAGTGCTTGAAGCACATCAAGACTGCCTTGAAAAGGGCTTCAAGCTCTTTAAATGTGCTTCAAGCTCTTTAAATGTGCTTGAAGCTCTTTAAATGTACCTAAAGCACTTTGAATTTGTAATAAAATTATCAAAGTGGCATAAGCTACTGCATACACTCATCACACAGAATTGGTATAGTAGAGACGAACTTTACATTCCACAGCGTAGCAGTAGTATGTTATTTTTTGAGATGTAGTTCTGGGGTACTTGGGGTAGTTGGGGTACTACATGGTAATTCAATTTTAAGGTTTTCAAAATGTTCAATGGGGAAATGTGAAAAAAATCCAGTGGTAAAGTTAAATAGGGTACCAATATAAATTAATTATTTATTTGAATAATAAGTTCATTCATTTTTTTTTTTTAACTCCATTCTAAGCTCAAACCCAAAACCTCCATTGTTAAGAGAGAAAAGACATAAGACGGTTCAAGTTCAAATAATAGAAAAAAAAATTAAGGGACACAACACGATCGAAAATTTTTAAGTGGGGGATAGGTTGAATGATGGTCAATTCAAATTCCTTTCAAAGTGCTTCAAGCTCTTTTAAAGTGCTTCAAACCCTTTCAAAGTGCTTCAAGCTCCCAAAAGTGCTTCAAGCTCCCAAAAGTGCTTCAAGCCCTCTAAAAGTAATTGAAGCTCATTGAGAAGGCTTGAATTACTTTTTTCAATTACAAATTACCAAGCACTTTTCTAAAGTAATTGACTTTGCAAGCCCCAATTACAAATCTATAAAAGGGCTTGAAGCACAGGGCTTTCAAGTCCTCAAAGTGCTTCAAGCACTTTCGCAAGCACAAAGCACTCAAGCCCTGCCCAGCTCTGTTTTGGTGGTGATTGTATGTTAGAAAAATGAACTACACACCTCGTCAAAAGTCTTGGCCCCCATTATTATCTTTTAAATTGTTTAAAGTAAGGAGATAATTTTTTTTGTGAAATTCATTTTTTATCTTATTGAAAACATAAAAACATTATCATTGCAAAAAACCGCCTTGTTCAGAAAATATGCAGATGTTTCTAAATTAAGACAGTTTAAAAGCAAATACGGGTAGTGCAGTTTTATTTAAATTTTGAGAAAAATGCCAGGAAATCAAATCTCTCAGTTCGACCGAGCAAGAATAGTGGCTCTACATCAAGAAGGATTATCAAATCATCTTATTGCACGTCGTTTTAATATCCCAAGAACTTCAGTAAGGCGCATTCTGCTCCTTTTCCTGGAAAGTGGTAGCGTTACAAGAAGGCCGATCAGTGGCAGACCCAGAGTGACAACGGAGAGAGAAGATCATTATATGGCTAATTTCACACGAAGGAACCGAACAATAACCGCAACAGGCCTTCGAAGTCACTTTTTGCGCACATACCGAAGGGCAGTTTCGACATGCACCATAGGCAGAAGACTACATTCCTCAAATTTAAGGGCAAGAAGACCTTTAAGGGTGCCTAGGCTTACACCTCAACATAGAGCTGCACGTCGTCAATGGTCCCAAGAACACAGAGATTGGCTCTTGCCTCAATGGCGCAACGTCCTTTTTTCGGATGAGTCGCGATTTGGTCTACAAAGTGACAGTCGGCGGCACAGGGTCTGGAGGGGTCCGGGTAGAGCAGAACGACTTGCTTTTGCCAGAGAAGTTGTTCCCTATCAAGGTGGAACAGTTATGTTTTGGGGCGGTATAATGTATGGTCGCCGTACCCCACTTATCCTTATTCAGCGAAGAATGACAGGTGCCATATATGCTGAAAACATTATTGAACCAATCATTCAGCCCTTGCGCAATGAATTTGGAGAAAATTTTATTTTTCAAGATGATAATGCCACACCACATCGCACACAAAGGGTACAAAACATGCTGCGGGAAGGAAATATCCGAAGAATGAACTGGCCAGCAAACTCTCCCGACATGAATCCAATTGAACATGTATGGGATCACATTTCCAAAGCAATATTCAACCGAGAAAATCCCCCTCTAACCCTTCAAGACTTAATTGCAGCTGTTCAAGAAGAATGGGACAATATGGCGGTAGATTATATTGATAACCTGATTAGAGGGATGCCCCAGACGTGTTGGTCAATTGATCGAAAGAAGAGGAGATCATACAGACTACTGAAGTATGTTTTTGTTAGTCCATTACATTTTTTGTCGAAGAAAAATCATTTTTTAATTTAAGAATTTCTGCCATTTTTTCGTTATTTTGTTGTACTGCATTATATAGAAAGTAAATAAAAAAATGTATAGTCTGTTTTTTTTTGGAGTTGAAGTAAAGAATAAACTTCACTAAGTTTTAAAACTTAAACTTCTTTGTTTTTGAAAATATCTAGGGGGGCCAAGAGTTTTGACGATGTGTGTATTTGACATAGTAAACATTTTTATTTACCCTTGGCGTGCGGTTTTGGGGGGTAAAAAGGGGTTGTATTTTTGGGAAAAAGATATTAGGGCATATTTTAGATAATTTTTTGTATCAGATTAAAAATCAGCGTCCCCAAAAACCCCTTAATTCATATTTTAAAAATCTTGCGAGATGATTTTAGCAAAAAAATTAATAAATTTATTTTAATTTACATGCTCTAATAAGCTGTTTGGCAAATACATATGAAGTAAGGGGTTTTTGGGGATGCTGAATTTTAATCTGATGCAAAAAATTATCTAGAATAAGCCCTAATATCTTTTTTCCAAAAATACAACCCTTTTTTCACCCCCCAACACGCACGCCAATGGTAAATAAAAATGTTTACTGTGTCAAATAGTTAATTTTTCTAAGATACACTCACCACCAAAATTTGAGTAAAATCGCATTATTAATAACTGAGATATCGGGGTGTATTTATGAAAAGTGGGACACACTGTATATATTTGTATGGTATATCATATAACATTTTGTCATATTTTCGATGTAGACTTTTTTCATGCCCTGGCCCCCCCCTGGCGTCGCCACTGGTAAAGGCATGTGTAGATACAAAATTTTACCTACGAAGCATCTATAATAACATCTACCAACAAAAAGAGGAATTTTTGAAATTTCTGAAAGACAATAAGAGTTTTTTGATAACAAAAACCAGTGTATACTATTTTATTATCTATTCACAATCCGATGTCCAAAGGTAAAGGTGAAATTTATCACTTTTCAATGCTATTTGATATGGAAAGCTGATAAATTTACCATTACCTTTGAATTACAGATTGTGAATAGGATATCCATATTTTGCAGTTTTCTTTACCATACAATATGCGGTAAAGTGCTATTTTGCACTTGAAAATAAGTGCGGTAAAGTGCACTTTTCGCACGCTCGGGGGTAAATAATTGAAAGTAGTGTTTGATATCACAATATTTATGCACAAAAACTCTCCAAAATGTTGTTATTTGCATGGAGCGAGCTTGTTTTGAGTGGAAATTTGGCATTTTTAGGTTTTACTTACCACAAAATTATGTAAGAACAGAAATATTAATAAAACAAGGCACTTGTTCATTGTGAAAACCTATTTTATTTTATTATCTGAGTTTCAACTTTAATAGAAATAGGAAAATTATAAATATGGGAAAAGGTAATGGGTGAAACCCAGAGAATTTTAAACTTGTAGAATAGTGGGCGGTTGCGATTTGCGATGGATTGTAGGCAGGGGGTTTTTCAAAAATTTCCTTGAGAAAGTTTTCATTAATTAAATCGCTACTATCTGTTTCTTTTCAATGGCTACAATTGAAAAGAAATAACGAGATAATCAGCTGTTGATCAGATCAACTCAGTGTTGCCACTATTGAAAAATGAATTATTTGAAATGTGCATTCAGTTCAAGCAAGTTAGTGCAACGTAAACACAACCAAACAACGAATTTTTTGAACGTACTCCATTTTCATTTGCCAACAATGGACAAAACCCCTCTCTTTTACTTTAAAACCTTGTTCCGACTCCATCCCATTCAACTCAGAGTAGGCAGAACAGGCACGATTTATCGAACAGATTATTCTATTTCCATTTGACAACAATCGTCAAATTGTGACGTGACATAAAATCATCATAACCTCAAAAAAAAAAAAAACGAGGGCTAGTGTTTATACATTTCAAAATTTTTAATTTTCTTTAATTCTAAAGCAAAATGAGTGACGATAGTGATTACCAGTTCACAGACGACGACGTCGACGATACAAATCACTCAAAAATCGTCGAGAACGTCCTCAGTTTGAATAAAGCTCAAAATCTAAAAAGGCCTTCTCGTACCGAACCGACTTTACAGATTTCCGAATTCAACTTGGTCAAATCTGTAACGGGCCAGCTGCAAATAGACGATTTAACTAAGGTATTAAAAACCCGTAAGAAACACGCAAAAGTAGGCGAAAAAGTTGAAAGAACTAAAAAAAAGACACACACCTTACCAAAACCATTAGAAAAGCCTCAAGCAGAAAGGATAAGACGTTCTGTTGGTTACGAAAAAAACCGATTTTTATTTGATAGATGGGAAGCTTTTGTAACTTCCAACAGAGCCTCCGCACATCAAGTATTTCCATTGGACAGCGTAGAAAATTTAAAAGTAGAAACCAAAAAAGCTGCAGACATTGCCAGTACCTGGACATACAAATCGGATTTACAAAAAGAATTAGAATCACTTGAAAACAAAGTTGAAGTCTATAATATTGATGAAAATGACAAAGATGATGAGTTTCCTTTAACTTTGGAAGAATTGAAGGAAAAACGACAAGAAGCAGCAAAGCTAAGGGCTCACCAAAGCTACAAAGAAGCCAAAGCCAGGAGGCAGAATAAAATCAAAAGTAAAAAATACCATAGAATATTGAGGAAGGAAAGAATTAAACAACAACTAAAGGAGTTTGAAGAGTTACAAAAAACAAATCCTGAAGCAGCTTTGAAGAAACTTGAAGAAATTGAAAAGGCTAGAGCATTAGAGAGATTCAGTTTGAGGCATAAGGGTACAGGACAATGGGCTAAGAGTAAGCAAGTTAGAGCAAAATATGATAAAGAGGTAATAATAAGTGAATATAATAATTGATTTTTTAAATAATTTTTATTTTACAGAGCAGACAAGTGTTGGCCCAACAACTAGCAATAAGCAGAGAATTGACTCAAAAACAAAAACATATGGAGAGTGAGTCAGAGGAAGAAGAACTTAAAATTGAAGAAAGTTCCAGTAATAATCCTTGGATTATTAAGCCTGATAAGGAAGTTAGTGAATTTACTAGTAGCTACAAACAATTTTGGAATGAACAAAATAAGAATAAAGAAGCAATAATTCAAAATGATGATGATGAACAAGATGATAAAATAGAAGAAATAGTAATAAATGATAAGCAAGAAAAAGTAAAACAAATTAAGAAAAAAGTAAAAAAAAATAAAGTTGTTCCAAAGAATCAGCAAAAATTAAACAATTCGTCAGGTGATTGGGACATTGACGATATATTTGACCAAGCTGAAAAAAAAGTTGCAGAAAAACTAAAAAATAAATTGGCAAAAATCAACAAAGTCACAAATAAATTAAAACCTAAAAACAAAAAAGCTACAACTAAAAATAATAAAAAAATCGACCTTAGCATGCCTTCTCAAAGCAAAAAACAAATAATTGATGAAAAAATGAATGAAACAACCCATAAAACAACAAACAATAATACAAATAATAACATAGATGCTTTAAAAAACATTATCAATCTTGACAACTCAAACACCCAATCAAACAACATCGATCCTGAAAAGTTCATGAAACCAAAAGTTACCAACCTAGATTCTGCCCTACCATCATTAATAATTGAAAATGAAAATAATAACAACCAAAAACATGTCATCATGGAAGCATTTGAAGACAATGACATTGTAGAAGATTTTGCAAAAGACAAACAAGAAGAAGTGGACCAAGACAAACCTCAAGACATCGACCTAAATCTTCCTGGTTGGGGCTCGTGGGCTGGAACAGGCATAGACCCAAAAAAACAAAGAAAACGTAAAAGATTTATTATAAAAATGCCTGAAACCATGCCTAGAAGAGATGACAATAAGGGCTCTTTAATAATAAACGAAAAAGCTGCTGCTAAAATTAAACCTCATCTAGTTTCTGAAGTACCATTCCCATTTAAAACCGTAAAAGACTATGAAGCAAGCATAAGAACTCCAATTGGTAATAGTTTTGTACCAGAATTGGCTTATAGGAGGTTTATAAGGCCCGCAGTGGAAACCAAAATGGGAGCTGTAATTGAACCTGCTACAACTAGTATTTTAATGGGGAAACCCAAAAAATAATGTTAGAATTTCAATAAAAACAGTTTTTAAAATTATAAAATTTGCTAGAATTTATTTTTATTATATATACTTCTAAAAATTTCCATGTTGGTATTTTTCATTGGAAAAGTATGAAATTTTAATATAATGAGCTTCTAACTTTTCTCTTTTTTTCCTGAAAGTTTCATAATTTTCTCCTAGGTAGTTTTCCAGAGAAATGGTAAAATATATGATGGTGCATTTTTGCTTAATTTAAAATAAATTTTCATTAATTTCCCATTTTGGGATTTTGGTATTTTTCACTGGAAAAGTTTGAAATTTTAGTATGATGAGCTCCCAACTTTCCTCTTTTTCCCCTAAAAGTTTCTCAATTTGCCCCTTAGTAGTTTTCCAGAGAAGTGGTAAAATGTATGATGGTGCATTTTTGCTTAATTTAATAATTATTTATACACCAAGTGAGTTAAATGAATTTTTATTCATGAGAAGAAAGTTTAACCCAAGAGCCCTAGCGAGTAGGTTAATTTTCTTCGAATGAATAAACATTTTAACTAACGTGATGTATACAAAATTTTATCCCATTTTGTGAAAATTTCAAAAATAAAGTAGAAGAAAAAATGCCGGGAGTGAGTTAAAATGTTTTTAAATCACTGAGGTGATAAACGTCTACTTACCTTTATTGTTATGCGTTCAATAATGTCATTTTTAAACGTCAAAATGAGATAAAGTAAATTTATTAATTTCCCAATTTAGGATTTTGGTATTCTTCACTGGAAAAGTTTGGAATTTTAGTATGATGAGCTCCCAAGTTTCCTCTTTTTCCCCTAAAAGTTTCTCAATTTGCCCCTTAGTAGTTTTCCAGAGGAGTGGTAAAATGTATGATGGTGCATTTTTGCTTAATTTAAAGTAAATTTATTAATTTCCCATTTTGGAATTTTGGTATTCTTCACTGGAAAAGTTTGAAATTTTAGTATAATGAGCTTCTAACTTTCCTCTTTTTCTCCTAAAAGCTTCTCAATTTGCCCCTTAGTAGTTTTCCAGAGAAATGGTAAAATGTATGATGGTGCATTTTTGCTTATTTTAAATTTTGTAAGTTAATTTTCCTTAATTTTCCATTTCAGTATTTTTCACTAGAAAAGTTTGAAATTTTAGTCTGATAAGCTCCCAACTTTCCTCTTTTTCCCCTTGAAGTTTCTCAATTTTCCCCTTAGTAGTTCTCCAGAAAAATGGTAAAATGTATGACAGTGTATTTTTGCTTAATTTAAATTTTGTAAGTTAATTTTCATTTATTTCCCATTGTGTTATTTTTCACTGGAAAGGTTTCAAATTCTAGTATGATGAGTTCTAACTTTCCTCTTTTTCTCCTGAAACTTTCCCAATTTTCCCCTTAGTAGTTTTCCAGAGAAATGGTAAAATGTATGATGGTGCATTTTTGCTTAATTTAAAATAAATTTTCATTAATTTCCCATTTTGGGATTTTGGTATTCTTCACTGGAAAAGTTTGAAATTTTAGTATGATGAGCTCCCAACTTTCCTCTTTTTCCCCTAAAAAATTCTCAATTTGCCCCTTAGTAGTTTTTTAGAGAAGTGGTAAAATGTATGATGGTGCATTTTTGCTTAATTTAAAGTAAATTTATTAATTTCCCATTTTGGAATTTTGGTATTCTTCACTGGAAAAGTTTGAAATTTTAGTATAATGAGCTTCTAACTTTCCTCTTTTTCTCCTAAAAGCTTTTCAATTTGCCCCTTAGTAGTTTTCCAGAGAAATGGTAAAATGTATGATGGTGCATTTTTGCTTATTTTAAATTTTGTAAGTTAATTTTCCTTAATTTTCCATTTCCGTATTTTTCACTAGAAAAGTTTGAAATTTTAGTCTGATAAGCTCCTAACTTTCCTCTTTTTCCCCTTGAAGTTTCTCAATTTTCCCCTTAGTAGTTCTCCAGAAAAATGGTAAAATGTATGACAGTGTATTTTTGCTTAATTTAAATTTTGTAAGTTTATTTTCATTTATTTCCCATTGTGTTATTTTTCACTGGAATGGTTTCAAATTCTAGTATGATGAGTTCTAACTTTCCTCTTTTTCTCCTGAAACTTTCCCAATTTTCCCCTAAGTAGTTTTCCAGAGAAATGGTAAAATGTATGATGGTGCATTTTTGCTTAATTTAAAATAAATTTTCATTAATTTCCCATTTTGGGATTTTGGTATTCTTCACTGGAAAAGTTTGAAATTTTAGTATGATGAGCTCCCAACTTTCCTCTTTTTCCCCTAAAAAATTCTCAATTTGCCCCTTAGTAGTTTTTTAGAGAAGTGGTAAAATGTATGATGGTGCATTTTTGCTTAATTTAAAGTAAATTTATTAAT